GGGGGTGCGAGCCCTGTACTGTCCGCCGAAGCCAGCAGCAGCAGCAGCAGCAGCTCATGGCCGTGTCCCTCTACCGCCCCGGGCTCTCCGGGCTGAGCCTGCGCCACCCGCGACCTCCACAGACTACAGTTTACTATTATTTATTCAGGGTAGCGGCACAAAGAGTCCCCCTCATTACGGGGCCACCGTGTGGACTGGCCTGGCCATGCCGACTGGTGGCGCGGGGCGGGCCTGGGCCGGGCCTGGGCCGGGCAGAGGGGCACTTCCACGTGACGTCAGCGCCTCCCGCCTGGCGGGCCGGGCCAAGGGCCGGGCGTTGCCTTGGAGAAGCACGGGGAGAGTTAAGGCGTTCCGTCTCTCCGTCGTTATACACTAAGTCGAACTAGCAGTCGGGGCGTTGATGGGCTGAAAGGTGGGCGGGGGGAAGAAAAGGTGGGACCTGCCTGAGCACTTGAGCCCCAAGCGCCGTGAGGCCGCCCTCGAAGGCTCTGGGCCTGTCCTGGGCACGTGGGTACATCAGCAGTCGGCGGTGCGCGTCGGGAGTGCGGCCCACGCCCAGGCCCGGGGTTGGCAGGCCGCTCCCCGGGAAGTAACATTAGAGCGGTTTTCTCAAAGTCAACACGGGCTCTGCCATGGCTCCGCGCTGCTGTTGGCCTGTTTGCGAGTGCTACCTCACTCACTCACCCCCGGCCGCCACCCCGTGCCTGGAGGAGGAACCTGACCCTGGCGCGGACCCCGGCGCGTGGACGCTGTGGACGCACACAAGAGCTCTGCGCCAGCGCCCCCTCCGGCCCCAGTTCAGGGCCACTACTTGGCGGCGTCACGTGGTGCCCGCGCCACGTGGCCGTCATAGTCACCCCTCGCGGCGCGCACCTCGGGGGGGGGTGTAGCGTAGCGTCCCGCAGAGCGTCACGCAGCCTCCGAATTGCGCACAAATAATGTCATTTTCACATTTTTAAAGGGGTGGGGTCGGGCGATTTATTTTCTCCACACTCCCACACGGCCCTCTACCTGGAAGAGTAGAGAATAGGAAGCTTTCCCCACACCATGAGTATAATGTTTCCTTAAGATGATACCCGATACCTTTAGGTAACCTCACAAAAAAAAAGGAGAAGAAAAATTGCAACCCCAACTTGACGTATGGGAGACGTATCCCTCTGGTAACATCATTTTGCGCTCAATCCCTTATTACCTCGCTCCCCCGCCCATCGGCTTGGTCGGGTCGGCGGGCGGGGAGGCGCGGGTAGCGAGTGGGAAATTGAAAGGATATCCTGTATCGGTGTCACGCCGCGGTCGTAAATCACGCACAGGTCGAGGTGCCACCTTTTGTAGCGGGGCCGCGGGGGACGCGGGGCCGCGGGGGCGGGGGAGGACGACGCAAAGGCAGCCAAGGCGACGGGTCCGCGAGACCGCGTCACGCCGTCACGGCCACCGACCAGAGGGGAGCAGCGGCGGAGCTGCGCGGGCGGAAGGCCTGGACAGTGATTGTTTGGAGACGGAAACTGTCTTGGTCCGGGTTAGAGAGAAGGGCAGGGCCGCGCTCGGCCGCGCTGTGGAGGGACGCGACTGTTGTCCTAAGGGCCCCGGCATCGGGGACGGGACCCCATACCTTTCAGCCTCAGACCTTCCCCTAAAACGGGCGCCGAGCTGCCTTTCCCTCGTAATCCGTCCTCGTGGAGCGTCGTCGCGTCGGCGGCGGCGGCGGAATCCGCGGGGACCCAATTTATTCTTTTTAGCGTCATCGTCTTTAATCGCTTGTCGTCTCCAGCGACCGCTGTGCTCCGCTCTGCTCCGCTCTGCTTTCCCACGCTGTCCCTCCCGCCCGACACGCCACCCCCTCGCCGCAGTGACGGGCGGCTCGCTCCCCGGCCGGGAAGTAATTGGGGCCCACCACACCACGCCGCCGTGCCCCCGCCGAGGCCGCCGCCATGGATCACGACGACGTTGTTGTTGTTGTCCCCCACCAGCGGGGAGCTAATTATTGTGCTTCATCTCCCTCTTGGCGTCGTGGACCAGCACCGACACCCCCAGAGGTTGGGTCTGTTTAGCAAAAGGAGAGGCAGGGCTGCTCCAGCTGACTGTCAAGTAAAACTCGGAGGTCCCTTGTCCTGTTTTGAAATCACATTTTCCCTTATGATACCTATATTTTACGCCCTTTTCTGACGGAACCCTGGCACGCAAAGTATACCCCAGAGTCCCTCGTCGGCGGGCCAGGGTGGGATGCGCGGGGCTCAGTCAGCGAGTCAACACCCACCGCGGCGCCATGTGCAGCGATGTGTGTTCGAACAGCCGGGGGCGAGATATCGGTAGACTATTATCGGACTGGCAGTGCCTGTCTATCTCACATCGCTCACCTCTGGCCCGACCTGGCCCACCCACCCATCCGGCCTTCAATACGCTCAAGCATAGACATTTTCGCCCACAACTTGGCAACAACGCAAATCTCTGTAGTGAAATTGTAATTTAGGCAAATTTTCAAAAAGCAAAAACACTTGTCTCTAGTAAATTTTCCAAGGAATCCAGTGGTGACGAGTACTTTGGTTGACAGACACTCAGAATATGGTTTATCTCAAGTGTAAGATTCTACTTGCGGCGTTGTCACGTTGTGGGCGAAAAGGTCTGTGGTGAGTTACGCCACGAAGCTGAAGATAGGAGTGCTATTTAGGGGATTCACAGGGGGGATCTTTTTAGTTACTTTGGGGGGGGGGGATTGGGGAGGTGAGTGCCACAAATTTGTGTGTGCTCGGTCATGCGTGGGTGAATTAAGGAATGTATTTTATTGTCAACGTCAACCTCCATCTGCTGCTGCAGCTACAACATTTCATTTTGTTGAGTGTAAGGATGTGTGTGCCAGATGAAGATGATATCAAGAAGCGCCTCTCGGGGCCTGCGGTGCGGAGCGAAAGAGACTGACGATCGCCCAGAGACAGCCGTCTCCCCGTCTTCAACCCCCTCGAGAGCGCAGCGCGGAGGACGGCTTTCCCAACTCGAGCCGCGACTCGCTGAGCGTTGCGCGGTGTGGTGGCTGGGCGCAGACAATCGATGTGCGACACACGCGAACACGCCCCGCGCCGCCCCGCGCCGCCCCGCGCCGCCCCGCGCCGCCCCGCGCCGCCCCGCGCCGCCCCGCGCCGCCCCGCGCCGCGGGCAGACCGCCGTGCACGAACTAATGGAGCACCTCCACGTTGATAACGAGCGTAGTGCTGAGGGGGGTGGGCGGCCCAATCCTCATGTGGAAGGCGCGCCGCGGCCGCGGCGGGGGCGGCGTGTGGTGTGGTGGCGTCTTTATGGGCCATGTACCAGATACGACCACACCACCACGCTCCCCACCGCGAGCCACCGCCCCGCGCTCACCTCAAGGGATGACCTTTCTCCGCACCTTATGGTGAGGTGTAGGACTGAGTGTGGGACGGTATGGACGCTGTTGGTTGCGGGCAGCTGTCACCGGGTCGCCTTATTGTGTGTGCTTGAGCGTGTGTGCGTGTGTCTCGCCACCCGCCCTCTTGCAAGTCAGTAGCTCCCCAGACAGAACACTGTGAATTATGGGGGAAGCAGGTTGCCTTTTTGAGTTTCTAATTTTAGTAGATTTGACAATTATTTCATGGAATTGATACTCTAGAGCATTGGCTTTTGTGTGAATTTGTTATGATGTGTTGGTTTTTTGAACTATGAGGTCCCTTCATATTGCCCCTTTTTCTTTCCTTCTTGTTTTTGTCCCCTTTTCCTCTTGCACAATCTCGGCTCTTGGGCGTAGATATCAAGCTCGACTGTTGAGCCTCCCGAGGAGGTGCGCCAACGGTCTGCTCTGCGGCCCGGCCGGGGGCGGGCGGCTGTGATCTGCATGCCGCCCCGACCACCTACGGGGGGGTCGATGTATTTGCACAGGAAGGGAGGGAAGGAGGAGGAGAGGGGGTCGCTCCTGGAGCTGGAGAGATGACGTCACCGGCCCCCTGGCCTTGCCCTGCCCTGCCCAGAGTGGCGAGGGTGAAATAAAAAGAAGAAGGCAAAGCATATTATTTGCGGCGTTTCAAACTGACGGCCTGCAACACCATGCTGGCGGCGGCCGGACTCGAGCCGTGACGTCACCGCCTCCCGGCCCGGCCCTCAGGACCCCGCTAATGTGACCGCGACACGAAACGGATGGGCGGGCGGCCGAAACGATGCCATCACCGACGCCGGAAGTGTGCTACGGACGGGGATCGTTTCCACCGCGGGATCAACCTCAACGGAATCCGCACCTCCTACTAGCTTGATTCGTACGCTAAGTCCCACCCCCCGTCTATCCTCGGGACCTCTAAAGTGATAAACACCTATGATACAATCTAGATATTACGTCCGGTATTCGCCGGCCTGTAAAGATCAGCCAGCCTCTCCTCTGCAAGCTCACGCCGCCTGGTAGGTAGGCAACATCTTGCCTTTCGTGCATGCGAGTACTGCGGGATTGCCTACCCCGAGTCCGGCAGGCGCCAAGCTCCCAAAGAACGGACGGACTTTCTAGACGATCCCCTACCGCGTGAACATAACTTTTCAGTGCACGGTAAAAAGTTTTTCTTGGATTTCAAGGTTATTTCGTGAATTTCAAGGACGGGTGGATAATTTCCTTTTACCTTGTGGGTCGCTCCTCGCTCCATTCCGGTGCCTTTGTCGCGTCGTGGCACCAAAATTACGTTTCTATATAAGGCCTGGCTGGCAGTATACGGCCGCTATCTTTGTGTACTCTCTGTGATGGCGCCCGGGGAAACCCAGCGGGCGTGGTTAAATACGGCATCACCCGTGGGTGAGGCGGGGGCGGGGCGGAGCGGGGTGGGTGTAGGCCAGCGAGGTGACAGGCCCTCTCAATAAAGTCATCACCTTTCGCGCCCCGTTGTGGGGCGGGGTCCACTCTGTCCATTCAGTCTGATACCGCTCGGGGGGCGCGGGCGGGGCGCGGGCCTATTCTCGTCCTGCCAGGGAAAAGCCATATCCCGGAGTCGGTGACGTTGACGTGCTGTGTCCGGCTGAGCGAGACGACAACAAACGAGTTGCTCTGGTGGCCACGGAGTGTCCACGTGCGCCGGCCGTACAGTGCGGGGGTACTTTGTGGACGGGGCCCGGTGGCCCCCTGTGCCCTTGCACTCCCCCCCACCCCCACCTCCCTACTGTCGGTTCGGCCGGAAGTGCTCAAGCCACACCGCGACCGCAGGCCCTTCACTCCGGCCTGCACAAAGAACAGTGCTGCATCGGCAGCGCTCACCGAGCCGAGCAGGCGCCGAGGGGAACCGACCAGAACAACCGACGTAAGAAAACAGCCGCTCCACCACCACCATCGTGCATTACCACCCCGTGCGCACTTGTGACGACATTTGGGGAGGGCGGGGTGGCAGGGCGGCCCGCGGCC